TGTCGGCACAGAGCCCGACGCGGGGCTCGAACTCACGGACCGCGAGATCGTGACCTGGCTGAAGTTGGACGCTTAACCGACTGAGCCACCCGGGCACCCCAATGCAGTAGATATCTGAACTCGCCTATTTGTGTTTTGGGGAAGAGTCATTCTTACCCACCTGTTCTTACCCTACCTGTTCTAGGACATCGTTCCACCTTATGCAGCTGGTTTCATAGTCCTGTAATTCAGCTTTGACAGTTGGGTGCTTTTTCAACACTTACTGTGGGAAGCAGGAAAATGGGCGCTTTCATCGCCATCGTCGAAGACAGAGACAGAAATCTGGCTACTTTGTTGTGGGTAGAATCGGACGCTGAATTAGAATTCCCTTTGCAGCACTTGGAGTGGATTCTCAGAGGGCACAGCGGGGTGTGCCTCCTGGTCTGAAAGCCAGTGTTCATGATGGCGCTCATTTAATAAGGGTGCCCACGTTTGTGCTGTAGAATTTAGGACACTTTCTGTCCCACCTTGTGCAGCACCAGCCTTGGAACTTCTGCCCCTCGTCAGCAAGTGCTGGGCACAGAGCAGACGGGGTGGGGGGGGGGGGGGGGGGGGGGGGGGGGACGTGCCTGAGGCTGAGGGGTGTTAACAGTGAGCGTCTGGGGCCAGCCACTTCAGGAGATTAGGTTTAATTAAGACTTTATTAAATGTTACAGAATTGCATAAAAACGTGTTCTTAAAAAAGGTGGAATGAGGTTTAGAACCTCTCGCCTCCTGGTGTGAAGTTCTCTGTCCACTGGAGCTCAAGCCACGCCATTGGCGTCCACGTTCCTTTTCTGTGGTGTGGGGGTCACACACCCCGGGTGTGGCCATGGCCCCAGGAAAGGAGAGGACTCAAATGTGTTTTGTGCCCTGTTCATTCGATTTCTGAGACTTATGTCCCCAGCACGCACAACACGGGCATCTGCCATCCAGGTCCGCGTGGTCCAGCGAGAGGGCCGTGTGTGCAGCACAGAACTGAGCACAGGTCAGCCTGGGTCCTTCACGGGCACACTGAGCAGCTGGAGCTGGGGTCCCAGCGCCAGGCCTTGAGGTCACAGCTGCTTGTGTGCAGGGTGGAGCTCGGAGGAGAAGGTGCCATGGGGGTTCTGGTTGTTCTCATTCGGAGTCAGAGAGGTCTGTCCCTCCCCTCTGAGCTGACGCCCTGGGTGGGCTCCTAAGGGCCGCAGCGACACTGGAGGACCAGCGGAGGGCGTCCCTTTAGTGTCTGTATCAGGAGTGCTTCTGCCTTCTCTGGTGACTCAGTTGGCCTTGTCTGGGTGCCCAGGCTTGGAACAGCAGTTGGCGGTGGGAGGGGTGGGAGGGACGCAAGGACAGGAGGAGGATGTCCCCATGCTGCAGTGGGTTATCACTTAATTGGGAAGAATGACACCCAGCGAGATGCAACCTGCGGCTTCGGCCTCATTCCCTGGGGGAGGCGGTGGGGGAGGGGCCCTGAGACACTTCAGTGAGCCCTCCCGGGCGCCCTCTCCGGTGGCGGTTACAAGCCTCCTTCCCCTGGAGGCCCCAGCCTTGCTCCGCGGCCCAGCAGCGGTGATGATGCCCCTTACGGGGCCTCAGTCCTTCTGCTGAAACTCCCACAAGCCCCCACCAGGGGGCAGCAGCGCCACTGCAGGTGAAATTCTGGTTGGACGGGCCGGTTTCAGAACTGCAGTCCCTGCTCTTTATAAACCTTTCCTGCTTCCCCATCTTTCTCCTGTTGCTTTTCCGGCGAGTGTGATGTGATCCTGCAGTTCATGGTCTCATCTTTGGTGGTCTGGCCGCAGCAGGAACGTCTGCACGGTGCCTGGGGCTCCATCTGCGTTCAGGCAGGTGGGCACCGCGGCAGAGCCAGGTCCCGGATGCGGTGCTCGCCTGGGGTCCCTCCCCACAGTCCTGGCTGGATGTGGGGATGTGGTGCCTGTGCAGGAAGGCAGCCTTGTGTGGCGTGGGGGCCACTGGGCCTGCCACATGGGTCCAGCCTCCCCGGTACTGCCCACCCTCTCCGTTCCCACTTCTGAAAGCCCACGGTTTTCATTTCTGAAACCGCACACGCCCCATGACTGCCTTGTCCCTGCCTTTCCTTGGGCTCCTCCCCCTGTCAGAGAAGCAGGTGGCCGCAGGGTCAGACTGGCTTTAAGATACCTCCCCGGGGTGACGACCTTTCTAAGTGGTCACCCATGGCCTTGCTCTGTGGCCCAGCAGCGGTGGTGACTCCCCCTTACAGGGCCTTAGGCCTTCTGCTGAAACTCCCACAAGCCCCCACTAGGGGGCAGCAGGTGAGCAGCAGCCCGAAGGGAGGAGCAGGGCCGGCGGCCGGGGTGGGGTCCAGGGACCGAGTCCATCCTCTGTGGTCAGCTCAGAGCTGGGGCGCACGGTCGGCCTATCCCACTGACCACGTGTGTGATTGGGGGAGACACCCCGTGGGTGCCCCAGCCCTGCACCGGGGTGCATGTCTGTCAAGGGGAAGGTGCCGCAGAGACCTCCCGATGCATGTAAACGCAGAGGTCCGGCCTTCCCGTTGCCCCACATGAGGATGGGGCCACCAGAGCGCGCGTCTTGGCTGTTTGCCGCCTCCGCGGCGGTGGTGGTGACACAAGTCAAGGGGTCACAGTGGCCCAAAGAACAGACTGCACTTGTCATTTTAGAACTTGTCTCTAGGGGTTTTGGTAAGAAGTGGGAAGCAGGTAACTGCTGTTTCTTGACCACTTTTCTTTCTTTTCAACTGTGTGTGTGGCTCCTCTCTGTGCAGCACATTTGACAAACTGTTGGGGGACGGCCTGTCTACCGACTGGCGGCCAGCAAGGGCCTAACAAATACTCACACTGTACCTGACTGTGGGCAGTAAATCCTCATAACCGTTCTCTTCAGTATTGAAAGACCAACAGTTCCTTGAGATGTGTTATCGTGAAGTCCATGGATTTTTTTTCTTTTTTTTAACATTTTTTTAACGTTTATTTATTTTTGAGAGAGAGAGAGACAGAGCATGAGTGGGGCGGGGGGTAGAGAGAGGGGGAGACAGAGTGGGAAGCAGGCTCCAGGCTCTGAGCTGTCAGCACAGAGCCAGACACGGGGCTCGAACTCGCGAGCTGTGAGATCATGACCTGAGCCGAAGTTGGACGCTTAACTGACTGAGCCTTCCAGGCACCCCTGGAGTCCACAGATTTCTATACATTTTATAAGTTTCTGCATTTTGTTTCTTCTTTAAAGACACAAATGCACACATAATTTGGGGCTTTATGTTTCAAGTATGATTTCTGAAATCGCTCCATCAATAGCCATGTCAAGTCTTTAAAGGAGGCAGAAGTCACCTTCTCCATCTTTGGTTTCACTGGTGTCACCGTGGCTTGGGAAGCCCTCTGGCCTGGCTGGTGGTTCCCAGAAGCTGCACTCGGCTGTGCCGCATGAAGGTTCCAGGCGCCCCCTCTGTCTCCCTCCCATTAGGTCACGACGGGGCAGTGAGCACCGTGTGCTGGAGTCATGACGGCCGGTGGCTGCTGTCCACTTCCCTGGATGGGATGCCGAGGGTGTGGTCGCTGCGTAGGGCGGAGCTCGTGCTGTGTGTGGTAAGGGACTTCACAGTGACCACGCGGTGTCACAGGCTCACAGCGCCTTCTCGGGGCCCCAGGTTCTTGCCCTAACTGGGAGGCTGAGGCCAGGGTAAGCCGGAGATGCATCAGAACCGACAGCGGCTGATGATGAAGTGTCTTCTTAAATGTGTGCGTATGTGTATTTACCCACACACCTGACGTGCACCCACACAGCTGCGTGTGAGCATTTTAATGTGCTTGGAGGTGACCGTCTGGAGACAGTGGGTGAGGCACGAAGGGAAGGTGGGATCATCTCACGGCCAGGATGGGAAAGGGGGGTAGTCAGAAGAGGAGCCCACAAACTGCAAATTGTCAGAGATGTGGCTCTCTTATTCCCGTGAGTCTTGTTGTCAAGGGGGGTCGAGCCCTAGGAGAATGAGCCGGGAGGGGAGGCGCGTCAGACCTGGGGCCCTGAGTCGAGCAGTTTGGCAGCAGGTTCAAGGGGACGCACTTGCTTGAGGGCCGTGACACTGCTGTCTCGGACGTTCTGAGATACAGGCTGAGAGCAGAGCCCTCAGGCTCCTCGTGGTGAGAATTTTGTCTCTACTAAAATCCTTGCTACTCCACGTGTTCACTGCCAAGTGTCAGTCTTCCTTTAAAGTCTAAGTGGCCAGAATTCCAAATACGTACTACTTGGAACATCTTTTAGGAGTAGTCAGGGAGAGGGAACAAAATTGTAAACCGGTTCTAACACAATCTGTCTGTACATTTAAGGTAGATGTTTGGGGTTAACACGAAGACTGTCCTGTTTCGAGCAGTGGAGTTTCTTGCTGACGTCTGTTGTGTTGGCAGTAACTACCGATCTGCGTTATAGGGCAGAGACCTGTTCCCGAAGCCCATCCAGTCCGCCCAGTTTTACTACCTGGACGCTTTTATATTGTGTTCTCCTGGCCCTGAACTTCAGCTCCTGAAGTGTCACATTGACACGAGCAAGGATGAGATAAGAAGGTACGTAGCCTCCTCTTTTACATTTGCTCTCTGTAGTGGGGGGCGCTGTGTTTCAGGGCTGACGTTATGAAACAAGAGTGTTTCCATTTGAATGTTATGTACAGGGTAGTCACAGCCTGGCCAGCTGCTGCCAGGAGCCGGGTGAGCGGTCTCTCCCTGCCCGGGGCCGCGGTGCGGGGCTTCGGAAGGTGGCGTTCCCGCCTCGATGGACGTTGTGTGGGACGATTACTGCTGTGTTTATGGTGAAGTTAAAGATGAAACGTTTCCTACACACGCACACACACACGTGCTGAATATACTAAATGCCTGTTTAGCTACACCTCCCTTTGGCAAATATTAACACTTTTTTTGTTTATTTCCAAAGTTTTTAAAGAAATGAAAAATTACAGGGATAAATAGAGGGCTGCCTTTCCAGGCCTTTCCTGCCCCTCTTTCCTCTGCCCCCTTTTTTGTTTTTTTTTCTTAGCAGGGCGAGGGTAGCTGCCATCAGCCCAGTACAAAACTACCAGTACCATTGACCGTATTTCCTTGTGCCGCACTTCCGTCCCTGACCTTGACCTCCCCTCTGCCAGCCCCCAGTTCTGTACGTATGAATCTGTTTGTGTTTCGTCGTTGCTTGTTTTTAGATTCCACTTGTAAGTGCGGTCATACGGGGTCTGTTTTTCTCAGACCTACTTCACTGAGCACAGTACCCTCTGGGTCCATCCTTGCTGCAGATTCAAGACCTCAATCTTTCTTGTGTCTGAGTAATATCCCATTTGTGTGTGTGTGTCTCTGTAGGTCTCTCCCTCTGTGTGTGTGTGTCTCTCCCTGTGTGTGTGTCTTGTATGTGTGTCTGTCTATCTCACTGTGTGTGTGTGTGTGTGTGTTGTGTGTGTGCGCATGCACCGCGTCCTCTCCGTCCATCAGTCAGTGGACACTGGGGCTTCTCCCGTGCTGTGGCTGTTGTGACTTCCCTCTTGCTGAGACCCTGGTGTGTTTGCTTCCCATCCGTGGTTCTAGGTTTGCTGTATCTCTAGGTTTCCACGCGGTTTTATTGAGTCTTTAAACGCAGCACGCCTTTCATAATAATCAAAATTACGCCTGTGAGACTCAGCCGCGCTCACGAACGGAACTTTGGTCTGTTTGCGCACCGTCGTGAGATTTTATACGGTAGGAACGTGCCGCACGTCCTCCCCCATCCTCTGGTTGACCGATACCTGCTTCTTCCGACTTGTCATTCTCACCGGTGCCTTAGGGACGGATTGCGGGGTGCCTGCCTGGAAGTGGGGCTGTGGGGGCGCGTAGGGTGTCTTCAGACCCGCCTTCTGGGTGCCCGGCAGCAAGCTGTGTGCGGCACACACGGTGAGGGCAGGCCGTGTTGTCCTCCGGAGGCTGTCCGTCCTGCCCTCCTTCCTGTAACTCAATGCCTGATGATGGCTTTCCCGGCACGTCCCGAGCCACCCGGAGGTGGGAGGTCCACGGGGTGGAGGACCCCCCCGAGAACCGCCCAGTGCCCTCAGTGTGTGCTGGTTGCCTTCTGTCGCTTCTCGCTTTATGCCGTGAAGGTGGCTGCCGTAGCTCCAGGCATCACGTTCATATTTCTTATGTGGCAAGATGAAGGGGGAGACTTTGCTGAAGCCTTCAGGCTGCAGGCCCCTGGGCACGTGGCAGGGACTGTCAGAATCTGTAAACGAGGTTCCCTTACACAGCACATGTGGGAAGTTGCCCCTGCATCGGCTCACCTGTGCTCTTGCTTTGGAGCATGTGGGTTTGAATGAGCTAGTGTGAGCTCGGGGTCTGGCTTGCGAGTCACTGTGGGATCTGTTTCATCCCCGTTGTGCCCATTGGGAGACCCATGGGTAAGTTTTCAGCTTAGCGGCCTTACTGGATAGCTTTTTAATTGTGGATGGAGGGATCCACATAGCACACATCCCCAGATCTCAGCTGGAAGATCGGCCTACTTCTAGGTCAGGCCGGGACACGGGTGCTGAGGCCAGGATGGGTGTGGGTCAGGTGCAATGGATCCATGAGGCCGCTCCTGCGGCTGGACAGACGGCACAGAGTGCCCTGGGCTTCCAGTAGCGTTACCCCTGCGGCCTTCCCCACGCACACTCTGCCTGGCACACACACTCACCCTCAGCCCGTCCCCGGAGACCCCCTGCGGGCCACCCGGCCTCACTGCCCAGGGGCCCCAGCCTGCGGTGCTGGGTTGACGACAGGGCGGGCTGCCGGCCCCTCCCCCAGCCGTGTGCAGTGTTGCAAGGAGGAAGCCGCGACACAGGGAAGTCCCCGTTGGAAGTAGGAAGGCGGGGGACGGGTGAGTCGCGTGTCAAGTGACGTCCGTCGGGACCCAGCAGAGGTCCTGCCTGCCCCGGGTGGATTCCCCGGGAGGACCTCCCTCGTCTGTATGTCCGGCTTCGGGCCCCCCGTCCGTTGCGGGTGCTCATGCTCCATGTGTCCTCTGGGCTGCGGTGCGGCACCGCGCGCCGGCTGGTCTGAGTGACGTGCTCTCCGCCGGTGAGAGTCTGGGGCGAGCTACGAGGATCCGGAGGCTTGCTGGCTGTCGCGAGCCCAGCGTTTCCGTGTCGTCTTGGTCTTGATGATACAGGTCCCGGGAAAGAGGTACTGGGCCGGCTTCCAGCGGCCAGAGCCAGGGCGTGCAGGCGATTCCTCCTTGCACACCCTGGCCTGGCACGCGCTTATGTGGCCCGAGCCTCCGGTGGGTGGTGGTGTGCAGCCAGGGGAAGCCTCCCCCTGCTCTGTCTGGGGAGGGGCCCCCGTGGCAGCTGCTGGAGAAGCGCCTGTCCCCAGGCCTGTCGCTCAGGCTGCAGCGTCTTCCCCACGTGTCCCAGCGTCAGCTGGAGGTGGTGACTCTGAAACGGCCGGGGCTTTGCATGATGGGACTCTGACCCTTGCACAGGCTGCAGGCGTGAGCGCCTCTCAGCAGGACTGTCTGTTGTTCCGGAAGGCTGCGGGCCGGCCCCTCGGTGCACACTTGTTCTTGTCTGGGAGCAGAGACGGAAATGCCGTGCGCCCAGCGGCACGTCCCCCCGCCCCCCTGCCCTTCCTCTCCCTCTGAGCCTGAGGGGGTGCGTGGCCCGCGATGCCACGGGAATGCGGTGCCCAAACGGGGAGTCCCCATGCACCCCCACTCCCCGTGATTTCAGCCGTGCGTGTCCTCTCTTTGCTTGCACCCTCTGTTCTTTCTGAACAGCGTCGCCTGGCCTGTGCTGTCCACAGACGGAGCAGCCGCTCTCTGTCCCGTTAACCACCTGCTGTGCGGTCCAGCAATGGTTTTCAGCGGGGATGCACAGTAATTTATGGTATCTGTGTGCTGGCACTGAGCCTTACTGCCGACCTCCTGTGACTCCACTCCATTTGTCCCTCGAGCCCCACAGCCCTGTCCCCAGGACCTGTTCTCTGGGTGCCCGTCTCTGTGCCCACCCTGATGTCATGGCCCCAGGCCCCCCGCCCAGCCTTTACTTCTCTCCAGGAAGGAGCAGGCTGACGGCCTGTTTCACCCTCCACGTCAGCCGCCACCCCATATCTCCCTCCACCCTCCCCACCCCTTTGCCCATCACCCACCTGAACCTGCTTGTGGCACTTCTTACCCAACTGGGCCGACCCGCCGTCTCCCCTGGGCCCTCCTGGGCCATCCCACCGTCTCCCCAGGGCCAGCCATGCCCTCCCTGGGTTAGGGCCGCATCCTGAGATTGCCAGCGGGTTCCTTTCCTGTACAGAATTATTGTTAGGAATTGTCGAGGCTGTGTGTGTGTGTGTGTGTGTGTGTTTTTTAATGTTTATTTATTTTTGAGACAGAGAGAGACAGAGCATGAGTGGGGGAGGGGCAGAGAGAGAGGGAGACACAGACTCCGAAGCAGGCTCCAGGCTCCGAGCTGTCAGCACAGAGCCCGACGCGGGGCTTGAACTCACGGTCACGTGAGATCATGACCTGAGCCTAAGCCAGACACTCAACCGACTGAGCCACCCAGGCACCCCGAGGCTGTGTGTTTATTAAGCCACTGTTAGCTGCTTATGTTACCCTTTAGAAGATATTAAGAACATATGTGTAAATGGAAATACAGATAATTCATAACTGGCTGGATGTCTCCTTAAGTATATGTAATTATTTTAGAATTAGGAGAAAAGTTTGCTTTTTTGTAGACAGGAATGAATTATTTGGGGCTTTATATAATGATATTTTTTCATGAAGTTTTCCTAAATGAAAAGTTAGGGTTTCCTAAAGGAAAATTAAGGTAGCTGATTTATTCCTTTGATGTTATGAAATATAATTACTAAGTGGTATGAAAACTTTCTTCATTTTCAATTTTTTAAGCAGTTTATATATTTATTTTGAGAGGGAAAGAGAGGGCACAAGCAGGGGAGGGGCAGAGAGAGAAGGAGAGAGAGAATCCCAACTAGGAAGACTGTCAGCATGAGCTCTTGACATGCGGGCCAAACCCACAAACGTGAGATCATGAGCTGACTGAAATGGAGAGTTGGACGCTTGGACCGGACACATTCTGTCAGGCTTGCTCTGGATTCAAGGTTTCTTTTTTTTTTTTTTAAATTTTTTTTTTTTTCAACATTTATTTATTTTTGGGACAGAGAGAGACAGAGCAGAATGGGGAGGGGCAGAGAGAGGAGACATACAGGAAACAGGCTCCAAGGCTCTGGCCACAGCCCAGAGCCTGACGCTGGGCTCGAACTCACGGCAGGGGACCACCACGAGACGTGACCTGGCTGAAGTCGACGCTTAACCATTCATGCCACCCAGGCTTCTCTAGATTCAAGCTTGCCAGGGACGCTTAATGGAAAAGAGGGGAACCTAAAGATTCATCAAGCAGCTATTTTCTTTTCTCAGGTACAAACAAAGGAGTGAGCAGGTGCAGCCAGGCTCCCCACAGCTGGGCTCAACAGAGACATCACCAGCCTGTCCGGCCGCGTGAACCACTTTTATTCCGTATCCTGCCTCCCCGCTTGGTGGGGAACATCCCGAGCCCACCTCCTCCTCCTGCCAGGCAGGCTGCCTGCTGAGGGTCCCGCCTCCCAGCCCGGAGGTTCAAATTACGGGCTTTTGACCACTGTGTGTGTGGTGGTCTGTCAAGGGCGCATGGCAACAGGTTAGAGGAAAATTAGCAGCGGAATAATACAGTGAAGTTTGGCACTTTTAAAATGAACTGCGTACACTTCAAGTTGCAGACACCCCCCTTGATATTTGGGTTTGCCCCACTTCTCTCAAGTGGAGGCAGGCGAGAGTTACAGCATTAACTGTCGAATATGAAACTGAGGCCGAAAAGTTTATTTTATTTTTTATTGTTTATTCACTTTTGAGAGACAGAGTATGAGTGGGGGAGGGGCAGAGAGAGAGGGAGACACAGAATCCAAAGCAGCTCCAGGCTCTGTTGCCAGCACAGAGCTCCGACGGGCTCAACTCAATGCAAATCAAATCAGCTAATCGTGACCTGAGCTGAAGTCGTTGCTTAACCGACTGAGCCACCCAGGAACTCCTGTTTTTTGAGTTTTTATAGCTAGCATCATCCCTTTTAATTAAAAAGCATTGATTTTGATTTATTTAGAAGGAGAGCTCTGACCTTTAGGAATTCTTAGAAAATTTTCATTTATTCAAAGGTCTAAGTTACATTCTTCTGAATGTAATGGGCGGTGGGTGGGGGGGAGATGGGGGAGGGGGGCCAGGGCTGTGACCACGTCTCTGTGGAGCTTCCGAAAGTCACAGCCAGTCACCCGCTGTGTCTCCTGGTGTCTCCAGAGGTGGTACCAGAACGAATAGGCCTGTTCACTCCCTGAGGTGGGTTATTGAGAGGAGTTCCCTAACTGTCACGCAGACCTGGTGCTCACCGCGGGCCGGGACAAGACCGTGGAGGTGTTCGACCTCAATGCGGGCCGCAGTGCAGCCGTGATAGCGGAAGCCCATTCACGGCCTGTGCACCAAATCTGTCAGAATAAGGTGAGTTTTGACGGTATGCGTCGTGTGCCGAGTGTTGTGTTCACAGTATTTAACGGGTACAAAGTTTGGTGCAGTTTTGTACCAGTTTGCTGCGAAACTCAATGCTCGTTTTTAATCATTACATTTTCCGAGCCTTGACGTTTGACCTTAGAAGATATTTTACTATCATGTTGAACGTGAATTTTTGTACTTCTGTCTTTATTTTATGGGCCCATTTTTCAACTTTACTGTAATACATTACCTCTTAAAACTTGATGGAGAGTTTGGGTGTTTCAGGCACTCACAGGGTTGAGTGATGGTCACATAAGTCCTGCAGCGACGTGAAGCAGCCTTCAGGGGCCAGTAGTTTCTCTTTTTAGGACGCAGCTACTCTGTGTTAGAGACGTAGCTTAGAACTACCTACAGCTGAGGGCTGCAGACCTGAGATTGGAGGAGGTGCCGTGTTGATGAATTCATTGTCTCATAGTTTAGTTTAAAAGACACTTTGCTACCCAAAAGTACATCTAAGAGATTTATGAGAAAAACTTTTGTTTTTAAGACTCATCTACAATTTTGATTTTTGATATATTTTGAATGACGTTCCAAATGAAGGGTTTAATTTATAATGCCTTCTGAAATATGCATTATGATTTCAAGAGTATTATTGCTTAAAAAAATTTTTTTTTAGTGTTAGCATTTATTTTTGAGAGAGAGAGAGAGAGAGCAAGTGCACAAGCCGGGGAGGGGCAGAGAGAGAGGGAGACATAGAATCCGAAGCAGGCACCAGGCTCTGGGCCGTCAGCACAGAATCTGACACGGGGCTCGAACCCACAAACCGTGAGATCACGACCTGAGCCGAAGTCGGATGCCTAACTGACTGAACCACCCAGGCGTCTTAAGAGTGTTATTGTCTTTAAGTGAAGTCTTACTGGATTGGTTAAAAAGTCTTTGTTATCTATAATTTCAACACACTATTCCAGGTTTCCTTTAAATTTCTGTTTAATGGGGCAGGTGTGGTCTGATACTCTGCAAAGTTTTGTAGCTGGTTTGCCTGGGAAAGGGCACCAATTCTGGAGCGCGGACTTGCACCCTCCTGAGGCAGACGCTGTCCTTCTGGATGAACGGGTGCGGGAGCTGTTGGGTCCAGAGTCAGACTTTGTCCACATGTAGGCAGACCTGTGGCTCCTGTGGGTGGTCCCCGAGAGCTGTCAGTCTTCATGGCTCCGTAGGTGTGGCCGAGGGGTGTCAGTGAGCCTGGGTCAAAGTCAGAGCGTTGGGATGGGGACAGGGAGATGCCAGGGGAGGGCGGCAGACCTGAGAGATGTGACATTGTCGCTTGCTCCCATTTTGTGGGCATCCTTGGTCTTGCGGGGAGGCCCTTTGAAGGCTCAGACGGGCATCTCATCTCCAAGGTCTTCGCAACACTGTGCCCTTGGAGGTTAATCATTTTGTACATTTCGCATTTTGGCAGGAGAAGGTTTTTCCCATTTGCAGACACCATGGGTGGAAAACACCAGCCTGAAGAAAGGTGTTGAGGAGAGGAGTAGTGTTTATGTACTTCTTCCTGTATTTGTACAGACTCTTAGGTAAAAACAGAACAAAGACATTTTAAACCCTGGGCGGTAGGTCTCCCAGATGAATGAAGCAATTCTTTTGAAGAATTTTGTAACATTTTATGAGGTTACTAAAATAGCAGACTTTAAAAACATACGGCATGTGAGTCATAGCAGCTCTGTGTGGGACGATATCCCGTGTCTTCTGGGAAGGCTGCGAGGGAAGGGGGTCAGCTCGTTAATGGCAGGAGTGGGCAGGACCACCTTGTCATTGTGGATCTTCTGTTGCTAATTTCACAGTAAGATCTGTCAAGATTGGGTTTAAGATTGATTATTAAACCTTACGAATTTCTGGACCTTTAAATGAATTTGATAATTGAGCCACATTTAAAATGATTGTTAACCTAATATCTGTCTTATTTTTTAGGCATTATGATATATTTATTTTTATTTTATTTTTTTTAATGTTTATTTTTGAGAGAGAGAGAGACGGAGTACGAGTGGGAGAGGGGCAGAGAGAGAGAGAGAGAGGGAGGGAGACAGAGAATCGGAAGCGGGATCCAGGCTCTGAGCTGTCAGCACAGAGCCCGATGTGGGGCTCGAACCCACGAATTGTGAGATCATGACCTGAGCCGAAGTCAGATGCTTATCCAACTGAGCCACTCAGGCGCCCCAATGATTTCTTTTAAATTCGGGTGCAACTCAGGTGTTGATAGGCGACGTTTTGATGTCAAACTTTGGAGGATAATTGTGACTTGTTGAAGTTGTTGAGTGGAACTTTCCGGCAAAGGCCTTGGACTTTCAGTGCAGACGGTCACCTTTGTGGCACCCAGAACAATCCTCTTGCTTAGAATCTGCTCACTCAGGACGTGCCAATTTGAATCACAGCTGTTAACCAGCAGAAGCAGTTCCTTATTTAGGAAATGACACCCAAATGCAGGGGGCAGTGGGCTTCCTAAACAGACCCACCAGCACATAGGTTTTGGGGTTAAGTTTTGACAAATGGCCTTGAAAAATGTTTAAGGTATTATTCTCTAAATGCAATCTATAAAATTTATCTAGATATAAAAATTTCCAACATTCATGTCTCTCTCTTGAAATGTTATAAAGTTAGATATTTGGTCAGTTTTTCTAGAATTTCTGTGGGTCCTCAGTTAATACAATAGGTGAGAATTGACTAATTTTACCCAATATTTCCATTCTTGAGTTAGAATGTTTCAGTAAGATAAATGTGAATTTCATGTGTGATGTTCTTTTATGTTGTAATTGTTGCATTTCAAATATTTCTCACCATTTCTCACACTTGTTACTTTTTGTCTCTGATATGAATTAATAGAAAAAGATTTTTTCACTTAATTTTTGAGCTTATTCCACATGATTCTTTATTTTTTATTTTTTATTTTTTTTTCAACGTTTATTTGTTTTTGGGACAGAGAGAGACAGAGCATGAACGGGGGAGGGGCAGAGAGAGAGGGAGACACAGAATCAGAAACAGGCTTCAGGCTCCGAGCCATCAGCCCAGAGCCTGATGCGGGGCTCGAACTCACGGACCGCGAGATCGTGACCTGGCTGAAGTCGGACGCTTAACCGACTGCGCCACCCAGGCGCCCCTCCACATGATTCTTTATTAGAGGGAGTCGTTTCAGAGCCAGTCACCCCACCACCAGCACCGTCACCGCCGTCGTCACTGATGGCGTTTTGGGGTGATGGGGGGTTCGTAGCCGATGGCCAGGAAAGAGAGACAGGCCCCGCCGTCACCACTGTCATCATCACTATCACAGTATCATTTTTTGCTTATGGAAAGTGGTTTGTGAACATTTCCCTTGTGAGGCTCTATTTTCTTTTTCTTTTACTTGTTCTGTTCTTTATTTCTTTCTGGGGCTTATCACAGAGCCATGAAGACTTCACCTACATGAAACTTGTGTATCAGAGCTCAGTCTGATATTTTTTTTTCCCATCTGGCTCCAAATTTGTTTTTAAATGGTTTCAGCTGATTAAATTGGAAGTGCAAGATACAATTTTGGGCTTTTAAATACTTTTTACTTATAAAAAATAAAGCCCTAGCTTTAAAATAACGGTAAAGACAGTTTTTTTTAAACTTAACCGATTTTTCTCATAGGAGATGAGAGATGTGACTGCAGTGATGGGGGCAGGTTTTGTGTCCCTGGAGACTAGAGAAGGCTGCGTTTGCCTGGGACTGTGTGGTGTCTCATGTTGTCAGGTAGAAGTCGATTCTATGAGGGGTTTGAGGCTACAGAGAATAGAGAGGTTGCCCGCGTCCATGCAGTTGTGAGTCTGGGCTGAAAGCCGGGCTCCTGTAGACGGACTCCTGCACGTGAGCCGTGGACGTGGGCCGATGTGCAGTGTCCCTGCGAGTGTGCCCCGTGCTGTGTGTCGCGGAGGCCGCGCGTGAGGGAGTGACTTCCGGGAGAATCTGCACGCAGACTCCGCTGCTCTCCTGCGTCATCCCATCTGGTGGCCTCAGGTGTTGGCGTGGACCTCCAGTCTCAGGCTGGGCCCAGGCCCTTTCGTTGTTCCCTAGGCGGCTTCTGTGGGACGCCTTGAGGCCCGGTGACTTTTGGCTCTGTAGGGGGCACTCGCCAGGACAGGAGGCAAATCCCAGACGTTTCCCTGTTGCGCACGTAGAGGTGCACATGCCGTAGCTGGTGTGTACTGAGCTGCCCCACGTCTGCACGTCACGTTCTTAGCAGGCGTGAACTCAGCCTTTCCGGGACCCTGACTCCTAGGCGTGGAAATGGGGACCCGCAGCCCGGTTCCAGAGACGCACCGGCACCGAGTGTGCCCCCGGCAGGCCGTCTGGCCGCAGAGCTCGTGGCGCAAAGCCCCGCGGGAGGCCGTTGTCTGGGAGCCTCCCTGCTGGCTTCTCTGCATCCAGGCTCGGGGCTCCCCCCACCCCGATGAGGAGCCTCATGAGCACAGTGGTGATGCTGTCACTCCACACGTGCACCACTGCGGGGTCTTGGGGGGTGGCCGAGACCAGACGCCCCGGCACCTGCCCCTTTGTCCCCAGCACGCCTGTGGCCTGGACTGTATGAGGGCTTGCATGCACGCACGTGTATGTGTAGGTGTGTGAGCACCTGTGTGTCTGTGTCCGTGTGTCTGTATGTGTGCGTGTGTGTACGTGTCTGTCTTAACCTATTAACTCATTCATTTAATGTTTATTTGTTAATTTTTGAGGGGGGGAGGGAGGGGCAGAGAGAGAGGGAGACAGAATCCCAAGCGGACTCCACACTGCCAGCACAGAGCCTGATGCGGAGCTTGATCTCGCGAACCCTGGGATCGCGACCTGAGCCCAAATCAAGAGTCAGATGCTCAACTGACGGAGCCACCCAGGCGCCCTCAACTAATTCACGTAAACATGTCTCTGAGCAAGTCTGCACCTGGCCTGTGCTGAGCGCTGGGACATGTGCGTGAAGGGGAGAGCGGTGGCCTCACACTTGAGGACTT